TGTGGGGGCGGGGGCCCGCGGGCCCCGCCGCGCTACCAGGCGCGCTTCACCACCCGGGACCATAGAGCCCCGCCCACTGCCTAGAACGGCCGTACAGTATAACGATGTGGCGTCCGTTGCCTAGAGTGCTACCAACGAAACAGGAAATACCATCGAGCTAGAGCCACTGTGCTAGCAAGGCGTCTCTCCAGACGCTCCCGGGATGAGAGCCAGATTAGCTGTCCCAGGGTTGACTCTGGGGACGATTTGACCGACAGGTCACTCCACCCAATGAGAGGAAGGAGAGAAAGGCGGCGATTGGCCGATGTGGCGTCCGTTGCCTAGAGTGCTACCAACGAAACAGGAAATACCATCGAGCTAGAGCCACTGTGCTAGCAAGGCGTCTCTCCAGACGCTCCCGGGATGAGAGCCAGATTAGCTGTCCCAGGGTTGACTCTGGGGACGATTTGACCGACAGGTCACTCCACCCAATGAGAGGAAGGAGAGAAAGGCGGCGATTGGCCAATGCCCGAGTCGAAAGGCGGGGCGGCGCTGTGTAAGGGGCAGAGCGCGGTGAACTCGGGCCGGGGGCACTGAAAGCGCTGGCGGGGTTCCGTATGTCGGTCCTTCTGCCTCCGCTCCGCCAGTCCCCCGCCTCCCCCACACACTCGTCCCTCCCGCACCTCCCAACCCCCGCCCTCGGCAAAGTCACATTCTGGCCGCAGCCCCTCGCACCCCAACCGCCGCACGCCCACATGGGCCCTTCCCCGCCGCCCGGCGCGCACAGCCTGTGGCTGGCCGGCCAAGCGACGCCGTGCGACTGGTTGCAGAAACGTATCAGTGAAGCCTCGTCCGACCCAAGGGCTTGTTCTGTGCCGCAGTTACAGCGTATCCCACAGAGGAAGTGTATCAGATGTACAATCAAGTCTTTTTGGGGTCCAGAATGAAGCTGCCAGGGCTGGCAATTTCCAGAGGGAGGACGAGGTTGGGAGACAGCAGGGGTAGCTCCTGCCTACTTTAAACTGAGGGAAGTAAGTGCAGCAGAGTCCAACAAGCACAGAATTAATCTTTTCAAACTTTGGTCCATTCCATCCAAGACTGAGGATTATGCTTGACCTAACTGCTACAGCTTGAACCTCTCGGTGGGACTTTCTGGTTCTGGCAATGGACAGTGCTGGAGCAGAGAGCCCTGGCTCAGAGCAGCAGTCCTGTTGCTCCGGTGTCTCTGGGCTGCAGAGTGCTGGCCATGTTGGGCCCAGGGAAGAAAAGCCCCAGTGGCTCATGGCTGGCCATGGAGCTCCAGCTGCCCCAGAGCAGCTAAGCAGAGCCCAAACAACCTGATGCAGCGGAGCCTCGCTGACTGGAGTAGCAGAAACCTGATGGCCTCAGAGTCTTTGGGTAAAAAAACCCCAGCTGTTCGACAGCTAGATATGCAGTCACACTTCTATTTTCTCCTGACATACTGAATTGCTCCTGCTATCCTTCTTGATGTTAGTATGTAAATCAACTATGTAGCATGAGAAAATGTAGATCCACTGTCTAGGAATATAACTCCACGTCAGGACACAGCATGTATGAAGGTGTGCACCTAAAACTCCATTCCTGATCAGACCAGTTTTCCAGATTAAGTAGCTGGAATTTACTTGTACAATTATACAAAATTTAAGGCACAGACTGTTGCATACAGTAAAATTGCATCCTAGAAATTGAAAAGTAGAGGATTGTTTAAGTTACAACATTATTCTGGTCAAGAAGTGGATGGATAATACAGTGAGATTTTTTGGTTTTAGTTTTTCAAACTTTCCACTCAATGTCTTTTTCCAACCATGGTTCTTGAACTGTGGTAATCTTCAGTATTCTTACAGAAAATAAACTGATCTATGAGATGTTCAAAGAGGATATTTCAGAGATCAGGAGTTCAGTCACTTTGCTGTAAAAAGTCTACACACAAAAAAGCAGCACAACTAAGGA